CTGAGCGGACAAACAGCTGATCAGCTGTTTGTCGGCTCAGCGCGGCAGCCATGTAAATGTAAATGAAGCCGCGATCATTTAAATCGCGGCTTCATTTGCCTTTCCTATGTGTTTAATCTACATGCCTCTGCCGACAGAGGCATGTAGTCTAGACACAGCCCAAATGTGTGTGGTCCCTAAAACTTCTACAAACAGCTCTTATCTTCCCCACTGTCATTTTGATGCAGATATAAGAACAGCCCAGGAAACTACAGACCAGTTAGTTTAACTTCTGTGCCAGGGAAGATAATGGAGCAAGTAATTAAGGAAATCATCTGCAAACACTTGGAAGGTGGCAAGGTGATAGGGAACAGCCAGCATGAATTTGTAAAGAACAAATCATGTCAAACCAATCTGATAGCTTTCTTTGATAGGATAACGAGTCTTGTGAATAAGGGAGAAGCGGTGGATGTGGTATACTTAGACTTTAGTAAGGCATTTGATATGGTCTCACGTGATATTCTTATCAAGAAATTAGGCAAATACAACTTAGATGGGGCTACTATAAGGTGAATGCATAACTGGCTGGATAACCGTACTCAGAATAGTTATTAATGGTTCACAATCCTGCTGGAAAGGCATAACAAGTGGGGTTCCGCAGGGGTCTGTTCTGGGACTGGCTCTGTTCAATATCTTCATCAATGATTTAGATATTGGTATAGAAAGTACGCTTATTAAGTTTGTGGATGATACCAAGCTGGGAGAGATTGCGACTAATCTGGAGGATAGGGTCATAATTCAAAATGACCTGGACAAATTGGAGAAATGGTCTGAGATAAATAGGATGAAGTTTAATAAAGACAATGCAAAGTGCTCCACTTACGAAGAATTAATCAGTTTCATACATACAGAATGGAAAGAGACTGTCTAGGAAGGAGTATGGCAGAAAGGGATCTAGGAGTCATAGTGGACCATAAGCTGAATATGAGACAGCAGTGTGATGCTGTTGCAAAGAAAGCAAACATGATTCTGGGATGTATTAACAGGTGTGTTGTGAGCAAGACACGAGAAGTCATTCTTCCGCTCTACTCTGTGCTGGTTAGGCCTCAGTTGTAGTATTGTGTTCAGTACTGGACACCTCATTTCACGAAAGACGTGGAGAAATTGGAGAGGGTCCAGAGAAGAGCAACGAGAATGATTAAAGGTCTAGAGAACATGACCTATGAGGGAAGGCTGAAGGAACTGGGTTTGTTTAGTTTAGAGAAGAGCAGATTGAGGGGGGACATGATAGCAGTTTTCAGGTATCTAAAAGGGTGTCATAAAGAGGAGGGAGAAAACTTGTTCATCTTGGCCTCTGGGGATAGAACAAGAAGCAATGGGCTTAAACTGCAGCCAGAGAGGTTTAGGTTGGACATGAGAAAAAAGTTCCTAACTCTCAGGGTAGTCAGACACTGGAATAAATTGCCCAGGGAGGTTGTGGAATCTCCATCTGTGGAGATATTTAAGAGTAGGTTAGATAAATGTATATCGTGGATTGTCTAGACAGTATTTGGTCCTGCCATGAGGGCGGGGGACTGGACTTAAGGACCTCTTGAGGTCCCTTCCAGTCCTAGTATTCTGTGATTCCAAATTACCAAAAAAATGAAGAACTCTGCATCTTCTTTTTGCACTGCTTGCACTTTACATGTTCCTTTTTACCAGAGGAACAAGTTTCTTCAAAATATTCCTATATAGGGTGTCATTGACACCTGGAAGCCATGACAGTTTTTCTGTGGCAAAAGTATAGGGGAATATAGGAAATTGTGTGTGCTGAATAATGTTTTCCCTTTTTCTTTCCAGGTCACTCAGTTCCTTTCTTTTCATTCTCTGTCTTTTCTTCTATATTGTGTGTCCGTGTTCAGACCATGTTTTAACTAAGTCTGCTGTGTTTGGCCAAGGGCCGCCACCACATAAGCACTGACCAAAAACAGTCCAATCTATCCTGTGTCCTTCTTTGCACATGTGAGTTCAGTCTGCTGAGAGGCAGAAATTCAAGACCCAGAACTTTCAAGAAGCAAGAGATTGTTTAGGATAGACGGATGAGAGCAGGGCTCAGCAATCTATGGCTCTTGAGCCTATATGGCTCAGTACAGAACCACATATGGGTTTTTTTTGTCATTCCCCAAATGCACAGCAACCAGAAGTGAAAGTAAGGCAGTATGCCTTGGTAAAAAACAGCTGCACTCAGGCACGAGCTGGCTGGGGTATTTGGCTTGTTGAAAGGGCCAGCTAAGGTGAACTATACATGTGCGTACTCTAGCTAGGATAGTGAGAGGGAGTGTTGGTGGCAGATGCCTTCATCTGACTGCGGCAGCCTGGCTCCAGCCCAGAGCTGACTGCCATGATCTGTCCCCAGCCACTATGCTCCTGGGGCAGACTGTGCAGCCTAGCCACAGCAGCCCTGTGACTGCCGCAACAGCCCAGCCGTGGTGGCCCAGTTTAGGCTCCAGCTGCAGCAGGCTGGCCAACAATGTCCCAGTCAAGACCCAGCCCTTATCTGGCCACAGGGTTCTAACCTGGGCTCCAATCCTGGGGCAGGCTCCGTAGTCCATCCCCCATCTGGCTGCAGAAAAGTCTGGTGGTGATACCCCTCCTGCTGTGGCACATGTAGGAGGGAAGCCCGTGATTCACCTGTGGCGATCCTGGTCCAGCCCGTTGGCCAGCCACTGTTGCCAGAGTGAAGCAGCCCAGCCCAAGGCCCTCCCCATCCATAGTGCCCTGCCCTGCCTCATGCACCTCTCACACGCTCCAACGCCCTGCACCTTCAGCAGCAGCAGAAGTCCCATTAAATAAAGTCTGTGAGGACAATGTTTCATTTATGTTATTAATCATCATGACAATTATAAATAATATTGTATATTTGCAGTCGTGCAAATGGGCGTTCTTATACTGGCACCTCTTTGATCACTTGTCCTGAATTTTGAAGTGCTTTGGCTCTTTGGTTTGAAAAAATTGCTGACCCCTGGACTAGAGCCATTAATTCATTTTTATGAGATTGTAAGTGTAGCATGTTCGTGATGAGACCTAATTAACTTTTATTTTTAAATGAGAAGTTTAGTATTGATTTTTTTTAAATAAAAATACAATTTAAATACAACCTTTTTTTTATTTTAAAAAAATCATTGGGTTTTTATCCATCCCAGTCTTTATTGACTTTGTCTTACCATAAGGTTAGAATAAGAGATGGATTTAATTTTTACGTAGTGTGTATCAAGAACCCTATCATACCTACCTATATAGTTACAAAGAGAACATTTAAAGGTGATGCTTTTTAAATAAATCACTATTGGCTTTAAAAGAAGTGTTTCAGGACTCTACCAGTTAATTTCTAAATACTTTTGAGAGGTGCTGTTTTACTGTTGCTTAATGTTCAGGAAGTTGAGACTAACTCTTTCTTTTCTCCCCCTACAGGTTAACACTAAATCCTCACGATGTCCCTGAAACCACGCGTAGTTGATTTTGATGAAACATGGAACAAACTTCTAACAACAATTAAAGCTGTTGTAATGTTGGATTATGTTGAAAGAGCAACATGGAATGACCGCTTCTCGTATCCTTTAAACAGAATTTTGACTTCATTTTTCTACATATGAATATGCTTACCAGAAAAGAGGCCTTTGAACTTTGTAACACAGTACTGGGGGCTTGATCCAAAGTCCATCAAAACTAAAGGGGTTATTTCCACTGTGTATGAGTTTTGAATGAGATGTTGAGAGGAAGACCTAAGGTTCTCTACAGAATATTAGTTGTTTTTCACTGTTTTTGTATAGAAGTGGAAATACTCAAGTCTGTGTTGTCACATTCCTTCAGCAAGATGAATTGTAGTAGATGTAACCAGACCTGTTTTAACAGTTCTTTGGAAAGGAAGGAAGTACTTGTTTCTGTTTAATAAACTCACTTAGAATAGTTCTGGGGTAGTGCAAGATTAATATATAAGTTTAAAGCGTCTTTTGGTTGAGACTCCCCAACTTTATAAGCAAGCTGTTTTAATTGTACACTGATGTGAAACCACTTTGAGTCTAAGTATTCTTGATAGTGTGTTGAAACAACATCATTACTTAAATTGCTTTCCCCATTTAACAGTGGCCAGGCAAAAATCTCTGCCTTATTAAAACTCACATCCTGCTTTAATGTCATCTACCACCCTTACTCTTCAATAGCTAAAGATAAATCCTTTTTCTTAAATGGAGTTTGAGGTGATAATTACCTTTCCCTCTTTTACATGTAGTCTTATGCTATGAAGGATCTTCTTTTAGAGAAGCATTGTTGTCACATCTAAAATAGGCTTTTAGCATAATGAAGAGGTATAACCTTGGCTACCTCTACACTACGAGTTTCTCAGCAAAAAAATATGCTAATGAGGGACATATTTTGTGCTGATCGGTTTTTGCGCTGGGGTTTTTGCACAAAAACAAGTTGTGTGGATGTTTTCTTTTTGAGCAAAACCCGTTTTCTCGCAAGATCGTTATGCCTTACAAGAAAAGGGGGTTTTGCGCAAAAAGAAAATGTCCACACTGCTTGTGTTTGTGCAAAAACCCCAGCGCAAAAACCGATCAGCACAAAATATGTCCCTCATTAGCATATTTTTTTTGCCAAGAAAACTCGTAGTGTAGATGTGGCCCTAGTGGCCTAGATTTTTGCCTTCAGAGGAGTAATCTTTTGACTGTCTGAAAGCTTTCTCATGCAATGCTATGCACTAAAAAGCTGCCTTGGAATGGGTGAATTCTAAGTTAACTGTCAATATTCACCTGCGGTCTGGATCCTTCTAATAAGCAGTAGTTTCCAGATCTAGAAGTCCAGATGTCACAGAACCGATTTTGGTACATTGGTGATCTTGATTTCTGGAACTTGGGTCTCAACGTTGCTTCCGCAGAGCCTGAGATCTGTTGGTCTTTTTAAAGGATTGTCTTTTTATTTAGAAGAATTATAAAAATGATCAAAACAGGATAAATGAGTTTGGGGTAACAACTTCATAGTGTTACCTGCTTCTGGTAAGGAGCAGCTTCTAGACGCTTTTTTTTTTTTTTTTTAATTTAAATCATGGCTCACTTATAGCTTTGACTTTCAGATTTCTTCAGTGTGAATCTCTGCAGAAATAGTTCTAATCATTGTTTCACTCTGCAGTGTTATCACAGTATAGATGCCACTTAAGTTTTGTTTAAAACTTGTTACTGTAACTATCTTAGGTACTAAGAGTAACATTTTAATTTAGAAAGTCAAGTTAACAATTGGGTGTGGCAAAATTTCTAAGCAGTAACTTGCAGGACACTTGTACGTTTGTCAAATTTTATTGGCCTAAGGTGGCTAAGCGTTGTCTTTATTTTGTAAACTGCTTAACGGTAAAATTTAGGAAAGATTATGTTCAGTGGTGCAGAATGGTATAGTAGTGTGCTTTTCTTTATATTCCACAATATTGATCCACATTTAATTGCAGAATTCCAGGCTTTTCGTGTCTGCAAAGTCACTTTTTCAGCCAACAAAGTAGACTGAGGGACACGATACGTAAAGGATCCTGTACACAGAATATTTCAGTTGTGTGTAAAATATTAGCAATATTTCCTGCACTCTTCCCCCGAACCTATTGCAAAGGATTCTGCAGGAGGCTAGATATCAGTCCAGATTTGTGTTTTTTAAATAGGAGGTCATGCAAGTGAGGCTCTTTTCACATGGAAGACTCTGTTGCATGAACATGGCTGCCAATCTTCACAATAGGGTGTGTCCTTCCATTGTCGGTTGGTTCTTGGTGACAACACTACAAGAAGTCTCCAGAAATTTCTGCTTCTGTATGTACTCCATTCAGAAGTTTCTGCTTTTATGTTGTTCTAATCTGGAGGGTTTTTTTAGTTAAATATGAAGTGTATCTCTTAGCTACAATACTGCTTCTTCCCTGAAGACCAAGCAGTCAGTATTTTCTGGGGAAGAACTCTGATGCTTTTGAGAGAAGTCTGAATAATACCTGCCAAACAACTGATTTTTAACAGGGTAACCTTGAGTAATGAGTTTGTGGAACCTTGTCAGTTTTCTCTCTCAGTATTAAATTTTCTTACCCTATCTGCTTTAAGCATGTTAAGAAGCAAATAAATAGCTAATTGTGTATTTGATAGAAATTCTATTGACTAAACAATTAGTTGATAAGGAAGGAAGCCTCCAGGAGTTATCCTCTGCAGTTTAAATGTAGTGGGAGCCGGGCAACCTGCCTACCCAGCTCTTACTATATTTAAACTGCATGGCTATGTCTTCGCTGGTGGTGGCTTGCACCAGAAATATGCAATGAGGCTAAGCGTAGAATATTGCCGAGCCTCATTTGCATACCTAATGAGCCACCATTTTTGCAGAGGAGGCTCTTGCGCCAGAAGGAGCATCTACACTGCCCCTTCTTGTGCTGCAAGAAAAACCCTCTTGCGCAATGCCGCTACAATTATTATTTTCAGGAATAACGGCATTGCACAAGAGGGTTTTTCTTGCAGCACCTCCTGCAGGGTCCCCTTCTGTAGCCACAAACAGGAAGGGTAGGCAGCCAGTGAGTTTCCACCCTGAGGTGGCAGGAAGGATTCTGTCAAGGGGCTTTGGGTTCCAGCCCTGAGTCTCCATCACAGACCAGTGGGTGTTGGCCTTTGGCTCACCCCCATTCCTGCATTGTCTCTGACCACCTGTTCTCTCCCTATCCAGCTCCCCATCCAGCGCTTCATTTGCCCCCAGCTTGCCAGGGTTGTATAAGTCTGGTGTGAAAATTTGATATTTATATTAATACCACTTTTCACATCCTTCCAGCTATGTCTTCTATGAAAAGAAATAGTAATAAATATTAGTTTTCGTAGCAGCAGACTTAGCAAATATTTTTAAAAAGGCAATTAGACTTCTTAGCTAACAAGTTTTCTTTTAAGAAAAGAAACAAAAAAAGCTACAGAAAAGATAAAGAAATACAAATAAGACTTGTTGTTTCGATCCAGTAATGAACAGAGACAAGATGATTTTAGGCCCACAGTTTAAACACTAAAGTCCAGTCTTCGCTACACCCGGAAGGTTGGTTTTAGGTACGTAACTCCAGGCAAGGAAATAACATAGCTGGAGTCAAAATTCCTTAAGCTGAGCTTGACACCATCTCCATAGCAGTAAGTTGACTGTAGAAATGTGACAGCAAGGAGTACCAGCATGGATGGGGGCACCCAGGAGCACTCAATTTAGCAGATCTTTACTAGACAAGCTAAACTGAATGCTGGAAAATCAACCACCACAGCGTCTGTCTTTCTGCAAGTGGAGATATGGCCTATGGAACCAAACTTTTTAAAGCGCAGAGCACTGATGTGTTGGGCATCCACACTTTGAGGATCAGGTCCCTTGTTTAGATGTTTAATTGTGTACTTTGGCCACTATTTAAAAATATGCCTAAAGTCGTCCTATTCCAAGAAATGTAATTCAAGTAATTGTTCTGCATGCTCCTCTAATAGGTTTTAACTGTTTGTTCTGTCCAAAATGTGGAAAATGTAGGTATGACCTTAAATAAACAGAATCTCAAACATATATTTAAAGAACCTTTTCAACCTTGACTTCAAATCCAGGGACATATATGCTCTATGTGTGGCCTATCCAGAACCTCTTGGAGAGAGACTTTATACTGAAACTAAATTTTTTTTGGAAAATCATGTACGCCATTTGCACAAGGTAATGATGGCATGCCTAAATGTATTCAAGTTTTCTCACAGTATGATACAAATCCTGTGTGTATAGATACAGCTGACAGGCTAAAAGTACGTATTTTAGTTGCATTCACTGGTCCTTAAAGGGAGTATAAAACTGTCATAACTCAAAATCTCGCTTGTTGGCTGAAGAAGATTATAATGCATTTAGTGTGACTAGATAATTTTAACTAAAATATTATGAATATTTCTCAAACTATATTTTTATATATTTTTTTGGGCGGAAATAGTTGTAAATGGAGGGAGGGCAGAGAAGGAAGCACAAAAACACAAAGGCAAAAGAACACAATTACATTACCAAAACATTGTTCAATTGCGTATTTACATTAGTAAATGTTTAATGAGGCTATTTCCATAATCCATTTTTTTGTCATCTATTCACTGGGTGTATGAAACTATACAGGCAGTCCCCGGGTTACGTACAAGATAGGGACTGTAGGTTTGTTCTTAAGTTGAATCTGTATGTAAGTCGCAACTGGCGTCCAGATTCAGCCGCTGCTAAACTGATCAGTTTCAACAGTGGCTGAATCTGGACGCCAGTTCTGACTTACATACAGATTCAACTTAAGAACAAACCTACAGTCCCTATCTTGTACGTAACCCGGGGACTGCCTGTATAGTTTCATACACCCAGTGAATAGATGACAAAAAAATGGATTATGGAAATAGCCTCATTAAACATTTACTAATGTAAATACGCAATTGAACAATGTTTTGGTAATGTAATTGTGTTCTTTTGCCTTTGTGTTTTTGTGCTTCCTTCTCTGCCCTCCCTCCATTTACAACTATTTCCGCCCAAAAAAATATATAAAAATATAGTTTGAGAAATATTCATAATATTTTAGTTAAAATTATCTAGTCACACTAAATGCATTATAATCTTCTTCAGCCAACAAGCGAGATTTTGAGTTATGACAGTTTTATACTCCCTTTAAGGACCAGTGAATGCAACTAAAATACGTACTTTTAGCCTCTGCTTTGCTCCCCGTCCCCCTGGTCTGTAGACCAGGGGGACGGGGAGCAGAGCAGAGCAAAGCCGCGGAGCACACAGCCAGCTGACAGCGCAGACGCGTCTGGGCTGTCCGCTGCCCGCGTATTCCGCCACTTTGCTTCCTCTCCCTGGTCTGCTGGAGACCAGGGAGAGGAAGTGCCCCGTTCGTAACTGCAGATCCGACATAAGTCAGATCCGCGTAACTCGGGGACTGCCTGTATTTCTTCTAGCTTATTGTCTAAATTTGAGTTTCCTGCTCCACGAATTGTTCTTAGTTTTAGGCACTGGTTGACCTCTATGCCAAACGTTTGTGTAGGTACAAAACACAGGGGAAAAAACCAAACAATAAAGATCTTTAACCATCCCACTCCCTGAAACTAAGCAGATGGACAAAGATTGAAAATGGAGGTAGGGAGGAGGTGGAGAGGTTAGGCAAGAAAGGTGAAAAGAAAGTAACATATTCGTTCCCATCCCCTAGGGATGGATTAAAGACTTTTAGAAAAGTCAGACCAACTCTTTAACATTTTAGAGAATGACCTCCAAAAATTTGAATAACGCTTAATTCTTGGACCATCTGGTTTTTCTTTTTAAGTAGAGTTGTGAATAGTTTATGCTAGGCATTTAATTTGATCTTTGTTTTCCTAATATAGTGGCTCTGAATACTTAGTTACAGTGAAGACATTTAATATCTATACTGCATTGTTAGTGTACTGTACTAACAGTACTGCCCAGAGGTTATATCCCCATAATTAGTTGTTTGTTCTTGCTCTTACTTGTACTTGGAGTCAATAAGAGGGTGTTTTGGTTGGTTTTTCCCCAAATAGCTCAACTTTGCCTTTCCTTCACTTTATTCTGTCAATTAATGAGAACAGTTGTCTCTTTCCTGTCTCCTTGAGGTGGGAATTTAGAAAAAATTGAAGTGATTTTAATTGTAGTTCTCTCTCAAGTCATCTTCACCTTCATGTTTCTACTTATTTCTTGTGACGTGATGCCTCCTATTGAAATTTGTAAGGGTTGAAAAGGCCACTTTCTATAGAACTATCTAAACCTGTGGTATCTAACCAGTTCTGCTATAGAGAACTAGCCACTCAACCTGCCAAATAGCCACATGTGGCTCGTGTATTAAACACCATGGGTCTAAACTGTCAAATTTGGGACTCATGGTTTGCCACCACTTTGAGATTAGAAATTGCTAACTTCTGTCTGTTACACATTTTCCATCCTTTTACCCAGCAGTACAGCTGCAAAGTTGGTTGATTATGGGCCCTTACATTTTCTGGCATCAGCAGATCTCTAGAAGTAGTAAAATTCTATACTACTCGAGGAAGGTGTTTGATTCTCTTGAGAGTCATTTTAAATCTTAGAAATGTCCTAAGAAACTTATGTAATGAAGTCATTTGCTTGAAGACACTAGACAAAGAATAGGGAAGTATAGAGCTAATTACTGGTAGGTAAAGAAAATGTTACCTTTTGGTATTTCTTTACCATTAATACAAATAGGTACTATATTTATAACTATCTTGTGCGTGCACACGCGCACACACACGGTATGCATAGGGCTTCTGATTTAACTGATAGGACATGAGGGTTGTTCATATCTCATCATGTTTTTAAAATAAGCACTGAAAATAACACGTGTTTTAATTTAATTAGAAACTTGATCTTTCTCCCTGCTTTTTTGCTGGATTATTTCCTTAAATTTGGTCATGAGGTATTTATTATCAGATGATCTGGAAAGGGCTGAATAAAAGCAGTTGAGGTTTTTCTATATTAAGAAATTCTTTTATTATTTTAATAGGGAGAGAGAAGGGAATATATTGAAACTCAAGTAGTTGGAACATTACTTTTTAATAGACTGAAAGTTTACAATGAGTGATGTTTAGAATTGAGCATCCCTCTCCTGTCAAATTTGAAACTATAATGCTAGGCATTCTAGGTGTGGTGTGTTGAGGTAATTACATCATGAAAATTATCTCTGCATTATTTTAGATAATAATGGACCTGCAGTCAAATCCGGTAGTTTGGAGCCCCTTTGAGGTTGGTGGGGCTCCACATGGGCCAGCAGATCATAGCATAATGTTTGGGTCCTTCCTTTCTGGCAGCTTGTCCTCAAGCTGTTGTCTTTACAGTGATTTGTATAAGGTAACTTATTCTTTATATGAATTAAAGTCTACTCAAAGAATTGGGTCCTTGTTCAACAAAAGACAAACACATGCTTAATCGTCTCTGAGGTCAGCAGCATTGTCTGTTTTCCTGAATTGAGGACTGCTCAGAGTCCTAGTAAAATAAACAAAAGGGCTTGTATAAACTAGGAAGTTACAGGCTTCAGCTACGCTGACATAGGTGAAGTGGTGTGGACGCGGTTGTACTGGTATAAATTTTTGCTACACAGGTATAACTGTTTTGCTTCTGGAATGTGACTAGATAAAGTAGTGTAGCACACTTTTATATTCGTATAATTGTCCACATTAGCATTTACAGTATAAACTAGTTCAGTAAACCCATAAATCTGTAACTGAAAAACTTTCTAAATCACATTAAAACTTCTACAAAGTAGATAGACCTACTATAATGTTAGTTTTGAAAGGTGTATGGTCACAACTGTCACTCATTTTTATAAACTACAAAACCTTGAAGACCTGAGAATTACATCTAATTGCTAGAAGTTACATTACACGGTATGGCACTGGTTTAGCAGAGGTTTATAAAATTAACAATTAAAATCTTAGGATAGTCCTTGGGGTTTCATTTTGATCCTTAGTGTTTCTAACAAAGCAGTGAGATTAAACATTAAAAAAAGTGCCAATGTACTGAATATTCAGACTCACCTCATTGTAAATGTTTGTTTACATTAATGCTTCTCATATTAAAACAGATCAATTAAAGCTATACCAGTGGTGGGCTACCTCCAGGCCACTTGTGGTCCATCAGAGTAATCTGATTGTCGGTTGTGAGACACTTTGCTGATGTTGACTGGCTGCAGGAAGTGGCAGCCAGCATGTCCCTGCACTCCCTTCACCTGTGGGCACTGATCTTACAACTCCCATTGGCAGGGAGTGTTGAACTGTCACCATTTGGAGCTGTGACAGGGGTAGAGGGCAGGTGCCTGTGCCAGGTCAACATGAGCAAACTGTCTTGTGGCCCGCGTTCAGATGACCCTGATGTAGGGGGCAACCTGTATTCAGCCCTGCTCCTATACTCATCAAATGCTTTCCAATCAACCACTTCTACCAAAACAAATAGGAAAACTATCATTGCATTTTAGAGAGCAATTGTATCCCCAACAGAATCTTCCTATATTACAACTGGTTTATCAGAAGCTGGGTAACTTCTTAGATTGGTTCCTGTATCAAATCACAGGAGGCAAACACTTCTCTCCAGAAGTGAAAAATATTCCATGCATCAGCATCTTAAATAGTACCATTGTAAACTCCTGAAGATGTAAGGACTGTCTCAGTTTGTCCTTGTGGCCTGAAACATTCTACTGAAGCTCAGTAGTCAACTGATTACTGTATACTGTCAAAATTGCATGTACAGTGTATATTACATCTATACACTATTTTGCCATTGTTTGGAAGCAAGCATTTATAACATAGCATTTTTTCCTTCATAGTGTGTTCTGGAATCTGAAGAACAAGTACTGGTTATGTATCATAGATATTGGGAAGAATACAGTAAAGGGGCAGACTACATGGACTGTTTGTACAGGTAAATTTTGCCAAAGTTTTTAAATTCAGTAACTGAAAATCACTGGAGTAAGAAAGTTTGAGAATCATTTGTATACAGTTGACTAAAGAATGCTGTAGAGGATGAGATGGTGGTTGCTTTAGCCACTGGTTAGAACATGGCCCAGATTGCTAGTGGCTAGAGAGTTACTTGATGATAGTCTATACGAAATAAGATTCTCAATTAGTATTTAGTGCAGTGATTCCCAAATGGTGCTCTAGTGATGATTTGTGGAACAGATGCTAGTAGTCTATGGAAAGCTGTCTGGCTTGGTTGCACCAACTCCCTCCTTTGTTTCTACATGTTACCCTACATTAAAGGTAACGGGGGAACTCTGTGTAAGCTTATCTCTGTCACTCACGGAAGTTGGTCCAATAGAAGATACTAGCTCATTCACCTTCTCTCTGTAGTTCACTGTTGTGTGTTCAAAAAATATTGAGTCACTATCTGCACAGTTTAGATCCCTTAACAACCTTATTTACTCCAAGGTTATCCTCTTAGGGTTGCGACTGATTCCTGCCTTTCTGCTCTCTGGGGCTCCCTACAATCCTGTCTTGGTGGGCTAGATCATCAGAATTGGGGTTACCACACCTTTGCACAGCAACCCAGACACTGAACCAGTGTAGGTCTGGGAGGGCTCAACTATGAGGGTCCAGCACCCAGGAAACCAACCCCCAAAAGGCAGAGGTAGAAATTAACTAAGTGGAAATACTTCATTATACTACTCAAGTACATTTTTTCCAGTATTTGTACTTGACTCAAGTACAGGCAGTCCCCGGGTTACGTACAAGATAGGGACTGTAGGTTTGTTCTTAAGTTGAATCTGTATGTAAGTCGGAACTGGCATCCAGATTCAGCTGCTGCTGAAACTGATCAGTTTCAACAGTGGCTGAATCTGGACGCCAGTTCTGACTTACATACAGATGCAACTTAAGAACCCCAGGCATCCCCAAGTCAGCTGCTGCTGAAACTGATCAGCGGCTGATTCCAGGAAGCCCAGGGCAGGGGCTTCCTG